TTTCCGAATTCTAAGTCAGAGTTCAGATTCAGTGCATACCTAATCACAACACAGTCACATTCAGAATAATTCAAAAATCTTATTCTTTCTTTCACACTATGAAATAAGCCTAGCAAAAAGTAAACTAAGTATGGAGACATGACTATCGTTGACACGCCACATATATCAAAGTCCAACAAAGAGCTTTGCTTGAACAATACAATAGTGAGTCATGCACTGTTCGTTGCGAATATTCCTAATGAATATCATGTATGGTTTTGTTCATCAACATGAGTGATAATTTGTTCAAAAGCATAAGGCTGAATCTGATTGTTGATTGTTATATGAGCACTGAGTACAAAAAAATGCTCACACCTACCCATTTAACACCAAGTGCGAACCCGAACTCGAATGTTCGGGTTCGTTGAATATCTAGCAGTGATTGATAGCTATAACAATTACCTAAACATATTATAATTAACACATAAGGTTGTGTATTATGATAAAATCTGAAATTAGAAGATATTTTCTTTTCTTGTCAAACACACGGAAACTGAAAGGAAAGATATATAATGAAGGTGCAATATATTTCTTTGATTAGTAAATCATTCTCTGATTTAGAATTCGTCAACCGATGAACAATCATAGTTTTCTTAAAAATGAAAGAAGTAGAGAATGAGCTCTTCTCGAATTTCTCTATGAATTGAAGCTAAACACTCGAACAATATTTGATCAATAAAATCAGTATCTCAGTTTTGAATTACCAGAACGCTTAGAACACAGAGGAACCTTCTTTGTTATTGTATGCAGTTATAACATATTAACTGTTATATTCGATCACGTTATTTCTAAGCGATTAAGCAACGATACGTGCAAGACTCTCTTGGCAGACATAGTCCTAAAATAACTGTTTAAACGTGTTAAAATGGAATATGAACTCATCCAGTCAAAACTCAAAAACGCAAGATCAAAAGTACAGTGTATGTCAATTGGTTTGCTTTTTCACACACAAATAAATATGATTTTTGGTGTAATTAAAAGAAAATACATTTCTGTGATAACTGTTGGGAATAACTATTCAGTTATACACGTTCCATGTGAAAATTTAAGCGAAAAAGCTAGCTTAACACATTCACCCCGATTCAAATTCCATAGAAACTAACATCTTTAAATATGTTTTATTAGAAAACAAAATATACCACAAGATACAGCATGAAAAGCTCTACAATCTACATCATGAAACTTATTTCAATTGTGTGCTTTTTGTTTTCAAAATAAACTAAAATTGTGTGTGACCAATGTTTGAGGTTGCGAAAATTGATTGCACAGAATTTTGCTTTTTTCGAAAACAAAAAATGAACTTTACGATGTAGATTGTAGAGCGTTTCACACTGCATCTTGTGTTATATTTTGTTTTTTCTTACGAAATAATATTAGGTGATAAAAAGATGAAACAAAAAAAACGAAATTTAACATTCGTGCAAAAAAAATGATCGTTTCGCAACTTCGAAAACTAGTTATGCACAGTTTTACTTTCTTTGAAAACAAAAATTAAACAATTAAAATAAGCTTTACTATGGAGATTGTAGAGCTTTTCACGCTGAATCTTATGGTATATGTTACTTTTTTTAATAAAACATATTTAAAGATTAAAATATGAAATGCAAAGTGGGTCCCACCGATGGGACCCATCGGGTCGAATGTGTTAAAGTAGCTTAAATTTTAGCTTAGAAAGCGCTTCTAAGCACTGGATTTCAACGATCAGACATCTATTGATGATCGACTCCAATACGCATCATACCATGTTCATATATGCGGTATCGCCTAAACGTTATAGTCTATAACGTTTAGGCGGTACCGTATATATGAACATGGTATGATGAGAAGTGGCGTCAATTGCTATCAACGATTCTAACGTCATTGAATATTGTTCGAAAAAAAAACTATTTATTAGATGAAATAAATAGAAATATTTAGTATACACATGCATAGTTTCTCTTCATTCTATTGACCTTATAAAGTATGAAAATAATGCTGAAAAAAGTGTTGAGTTTTTGGATATTCTTCGTTATATTTACGGTCAATAATTGAAACAAAGTGTTGTGTAGTATACCTGTATGTTAATAACATCTGACGCATATTTAAATATTATAAATAATGTGAATATGAAGGAATCAACATCGTTGATGAAAACATGCATAAAATAAACGGAATAATTAAAAGAAAAATCAAGCATTAATTCAATTGAATGACTCCATTGCCTTCCAGACATGATATTAGTTGACATTTTTAACATAGAAGACAAAATAACATTTTTCATATCAGATGAAACATCTATTAGCAAAACAGTTAACTTAATTCAATAATCTACTAACCTCAGAAGTTATAAGTCCAACTAAATTTTCAAAGATCTCAAGCTTAAAAAAATAATTCATTTCCTTATCTGTGCATTCATATGTTCGATCATATAATGAGATGTAAATTATTTTTTTCTACTATGAATGACAAGTTCTAATTTCAGTTTTGTTAAAATCATTAAAGTTATATCATAAAAATTAATTTTTAAAATAAATCAACAGTAATAACTATCTACTGCCCTACATGCATATAGTACATGTCGTGCATAATGTTGAGTTCGATCAAACTTAGAATGTTGAAATGATATTGATCGAAGAAAGTCAGCCAAACACAAAAGATCATGCACACACTACAAAAATTAATGTTGAATTAAGCAACTTGATTGGTTTAAAAATTAAAACAGACTTAAGTCGGTTTCACGAAGCGATTTTATTTTATGTACCAATCAAATTATAGCTTGATTGAGGATAACAGAAGAGTGAGATATATATGAATAGATAGGTGAATGAAATTGATGTTGCTGGAAAATTCGTTGTTTTCTATTTTTTTTCATGCTAATATAGAGGATATGCTGATTTACAATTAGTAGATTAACTATTATAACCAGTGAACAATATTTGCATCAAAGAACGGGAAAGAACGCGTTCCGTAAAATTAAAAGCCTTTTTTTTAAGAAAAGAAGACGTTCCAACAAAAGTGGAAAGCGTTCCAAAATGGAACCATTAAGAAAACATTCCATGTTTTTTAGAATGCGTTCTTAACTGTTCCAGCTTTTTTTGGAACGTTTTCTTTTCTCAAAAAAAACTAACTGTTTTTGGAACGCATTCTTGGTCGTTAGTGCCTGAATTTAGATTCACTATAAGAGTTCTCGAAGAGAAGTTCAGACATAATTTTTTGAAAGATCAATTCTGGTGCAACTCGACGAGCTCTGTCCAATGGCGCGCTCTAATTTTTCGTAGCTCAAACTGTTATTAAAAAAATTTTTTTGGAATCAGGACTACCAGTTGTAAAGTATGACTAATTGAAGGTTTCATCATTTTTGGCACCAGTTTCAGGGTGTCGTACTTTAGAGCTGTCATTTTGGAATCAAAAGTGACGTTAAATTCAGATGAAAGCGTTCATCAGTCAAAAGAATCCATTCTCAGGTGTTTCTCAAGAAAATGTTAAAAAAAGCGGTCTCATTTCGATGGAATCCTATCTTGACTGTTTCGAAATAGAATGAACAGAGACACGTTCTATTGGCTCATGGAACGGTTCAGAACGCTTTCTATCCAGCTAGAGAACGATTTTTGAACTGAGAAGAAAGCGTTTCGTACTAGTGTGGAACAGTAAAGAATGAGTTCCTTTAGACTCAGAACTTTTCTTTTTGTTTGTGAAAACGTTCGCTAAGCTGTAGAACACATTCTTCATGTAAAATACAAGTCTCTGCATTTTTATGAATGCATTCTCTTCTGTTATTTTTAGAAATATTTTTCACTGGGTAGTATGCATGGGTACCAATTTAAAACAGGAATAAAACTGTCTTATTTCTCTAGTGTGTACATAGCCTAAGCATAAGGAATGAATGATGTGCACTTCACATAGAAGCTCTAAACCAATCAATTTTTGAATCCTCATTTAACCACCATCCAATTATTTTCTGTTCTTTCATTTTGATCAATGGTTGGATGACAATGTATTTATAATTTCAAATAAAAGAAACTTTTACCAAATTGCTACCAAAAAGATTAATATTTTAGTTTTTTAAGGTATAGAATATTAAAAGGATCCATTCTCTTGCAACTATTCCATAATTTCAAGTATGACACACATTTTGAGAGA